ATTGCATCGAAATTTTTTACATTTAAAAAAATCAGTTAATCCTCGAAAAAGAGAAAATATTCATGTAGCTATTTTGCTAACATATACCATAAACAAACCGTAGACTTAAGTTTGTTCACGTATGCAGGTTCTATGCATTTGAAATTTGCGTTCATAGAAATAGTAAAAATTATACAAATCAGAAACGGAATTTAAGTTTCACTGTGATTTAATTTTTTTACAACAATTAGTCACCCAATATCATTAAACGTCTCTACAAATAATCTTTGGTATGTTCGGCAAATTTAATGTCAATATTTGAGTCAATAGGGTGTGTAACACCATCTCTTCCGGTACAGTTCGAGTCTTATACCTTGTACAAGCCTTCTGAACTTTAGTTGAGCAAATTTATTCCATTCAGCAACAATTGCGCTTCTTAAATCGCTAAGCTTTGCAAAGGTAGATCTCTGCGATTGAGATTTCTGCCAATGGCATCACAGACATGTTCGATAGGGTTCATGTCTGGAGACATGGAAGGCCAAAAGATAGTGTCAATGACTTCTTGCTCTTTGTACTCTTTGTACTCGGTTACAATCCTTGCCCTGCGTGGTCTAGCATTGTCGTACATGCACAAGGGTCTTGAAGCAAGTGGAGGATTATCAAAATGAGGGACTACTATGTTTCTAAGCACCAAATCCCTGTATGTCTGTCCGTTTATGTTACCATGCAGAATATGCATACCCACCTTACAACAGTATGAGAAGAAACCTCATACTGTAACACCACCAGCAACGTATGCAGTCGTTGGGCAAATGTTATTTTGGTCATTAGCAGTTTTATTTCCACGGCAAACTCGTATTCTGCCGTCTATTGGTCGTAACAGAAACTAACTCTCATTTGACCAATGAACATTTTGCCAGCTTCTCATGTTCCATCGTGGATGGTCATTAGCCCTTTGAAACCTGATTATACGGTGCCTGGCTGTTAGGGCAGGTCTCTTGACAACACGACGTGTTCTTAGGTAGCCTCGATAGCTATGAAGTCGACGAACCAATGTTCGAACACAAATATGACCACCTTGACGCCAGTGGTATCTAAGTTGTGGGGCAGGAGTAAATGGGTTGGCTTTAGCACAACCAATCAGGAGTCTGTCATCACGATCGGTAGTTAAACGGGGTCTTCCAGACCTTGGTCTATCATTTACAGTTCCTGTGTCAACATGACGTTGTAAAAATCTAACAATGACGGTGTGTTTAACATTGAAGTGGTTACCTATGCAACTAGTGCTCCTACCGGCATTTGACATGTCAATTGCTTGTCAAGGTTCAGTCACATATAAGTTACCTCTTGCCATATTTCACAGTGACTTGGTGAAGGTCAAATTTCACCTGTACGTACGCGGGACAGTAGGAAGATGATTTAAAGGCATCGAAACAGTGTATTCGAAAAAGTGCAGATGACCTTTAATAAAAAATTGCTTGGCGTGTTTATCGGAGTTTATTATTTTTTTGTCGTAATGAATTTTCTTAGTGTATGTTATAGGCAATTCATAACACTAAACATAAATATTTTTTTCGCAATAGTTAAAAAAATATTGCCAGTTATATTTAGGTGGTGCTTAACGTTTGGCGGACTGTATATATAAACAAGTCTAAATTGAAAACAACGTTCAAACTATATATATATATACATGTAATCTGGACGACGCCTCAGCCTGCAAAGGGAAAAGTAAAATTTCCAGACAGGACCAGACATATTTGAAACTGTTTCGTAACGTCACAATCATGTGCGCGTGGTCCTTTAAATAAACAGGGGAAATACAGATTCAAATATAATTAGATGGTGATGGTGGATATCTGTTAGTCGTCCAGCAGCAAATTAAATGGATATTAAGCACGAGAAAATGTTAATGCGATATGAATATGAACCCTGCTTCGTACTTAACCTGTTTACGACACACTGAGTCGGGTAGATTTAAACTTGCTATTTCACGAGGTAATACACATTATTCTGACTCAGAGTCAAACAGTCTAAAACTTTAAATAACTACTTGATACCTTGTGCTTAGCAGCAAATACCAATCTTCCGGAGCATCTGAGATCACCCCCAGTTTTTGGTGGGGTTCGTGTTGCTCAGTTTTTGGTTTTTGTCCCCCGCGTAACGCGTTGCGGGGGACATGGAAATACCGGGCGTCCGTCCGTCCGGTCTTGTTAGCGCTCTTACATGTACAGTTCTTGCCAGATTTTTATAAAACTTATACTATTATAGATTAATATCAGCAATATCGCGGACTAGTTCTATAATGGTGGCCGATCGACTTATTTTAAAAGAGTTATGCCGTTTGGAAATATTAAATTTATGGAAAATGGCCTCGTTAGCGCGCGCTCTCACGGGTACAATTCTTGCCAGATTTTTATAAACTTATATTATAGGTTAATATCAGCAATATCTCGGACAAGTTCTATAATGGTGGCCGATCGACTTTTTTTTAAAGAGTTATGACCCTTGGAAATATTAAATTTATGGGAAATGGCCTCGTTAGCGCTCTCACGGGTACAATTTTTTATAAAACTTGTAGTAAACTATAAGTAATGCCCTTGAAGGTCTGTTTGAAATATTAAGTATACAATAAAAAAAACTTTTTTTATGTACTGTTGTTTGTCTGTTGGTCTTTTTTTTAGCCATGGCGTTGTCAGTTTTAGTTCGACTTATGAGTTTGAATGTCCCTTTGGTATCCATCGCCTCTCTTTAAGGCTTAGATTTGACCCTGCCGAATATCGAATCGTCAACCTTTCGCACTTAGGGCTAGTACACTTTATAGCTACCTCGAGACCACCGAGGCGGACCAATTTAGCTAGACACATACAAGAAAATGTTACATATCAAGGACTTATTTCCCTACAAATTAAAAAATTAGAAATTAAAGAAAAATGCACAAACAACATGTCCCAGTAAATAGTTATACATAGAATCTGGCGGTTCACAGAAAAAAAAAAAAGAAAATTTATAAAGGAAGATGCAAGTATTATTTTTAGAGATGTTAAATCCGTGCATATTCCTTGGAAATTTATAAATGAAAATTCAAGGATATGTATTGGAAGGGGAAAGGAGTGATTAATCCGATAGGTACCTTAAAGCTTAAGACAATGATTTAAATACAAATAAACATGTTGCACTTATCTGAAAACGTGTAATTTGAGGGGATTTGGGCCCTCGATCTTTCTTTTTCGTTAGTTCTTGGGACCTAACCCCTAGCGTTTAATAGGGGAACTGGTTCCCAACTTGTCTATTTAAAAAAAGGAGAAGCATTTACCCAGTTTCTCTGAGCTAATAACGTGCGTTAAATATTTGCCACTGGACTTCACACAAACAATGAAATTAGTGTATCTTTAGAAAGACTTTTACTCTCTTTGGTTGTTTAAACAATTATTCTGATGTTTATAATTATTTTATTATTAATACAATTAATGTCTCTTCAGTGATGGTAGGAATCGAAACGGTATTTGGAAAGCCATACAATTTACCTCAATTTAGGATAGACTCTTGAATTTTGAGGAGTCAAAATATGATGAACGGATCATATAAACCCGAAGGCAAATATAATACAAGCCCAAACGTAAAATTATGAACAAGTCTAAATTGAAAACAACGTTCAAACCTATGATTGCGTTGGATAAAAACCGCAATTTTTATACGTGTGCATGCAAAACAAATTTCTATATATATACACTTCACTTAACCGATAAACTCGCGCTTATACTAAATCCATCAACACCCAATGGTATAAAAGCAGTCGTTTCTTTTATTAAAGAGTCATTAGAACTGAGGAAAGGAGACCAATAACCGTTTTTAACATGACTGTGTCTTAATATTGCTGGGTTTTTCTTATGTTTGTTTTGTGTCTGTATTGCTATGACCAAAATTGGTTTTTGTTTGTTTTGCAATAAAGAACACATATATACACAAAATGGTATCCAATGCTACATGTTGCTGTTGAAGGCTGTTGAATGGAATTTTATACAAAATTGTAAATTTTACAGGTTTTTGTCAAAATTTGCATCGAAGGATATCGCTGATCAAAATGAATTAATTTGTATTAGAAACAAAACATTGCTTTAATTCCATCATAATTTAGTTTTGGTTAAAAATGTCCTTGTACATTTGTCTGATGAATAATACTAAACATTTTCCGAAATCTCTCAAAATTGCGGTTTTTGGTCATTCTTTAATTGTTTATATTATGATGATAAATTAATAAGCCAAAATATTGCAAGACTCTTAATGTATACATATTTGGGTGTGATAAGTAACGTGTTATTTTTTTCTTTTGTTGTTTTTTTTTTTTATTCATAATTGTCTTTATTCTTATGTCATTAATTGCGATAGCCTACATCGTTTCGGTAAGCAGCTAGGGATTGTGATTTGGTGTACTGTCGTGGGAGTAATCTATAGAACACAATTGAATTTACGTGTTGCGTTGATTAATATGATAGTATGAACTTTAATATTCAATTTAGTTTTCAAAGATTGAGAAAAAACGTGTTTTTGCATAAAGTGTGATAAATTGAAGTAAATTCGATCTACACGTTTTATTATGTATATTGCACTTAACAACATACATGACCTTTAATAAAAGTATGTTGATTTGTTATTTGTTTATAAATTTGCCATTTAAACAAGTTTTATTATATACACCACTGAAGCATGTGATGTATTTTCATCACGTCACGTGTTCTCTGATTGACTGAATGTAGTTTTTATGTCATTCGTGAATGACTACCAACAATACAAAGATGGTTAAAGGAATGTCTACTTTCCCGGGGCTAACGGGACTATCTTTAATGGTCAGTTGTTTGTTTACACTGGCTACTTACAATTTAAACCATATTGTCAATTTTCATACATAATACTTGAGTTATTTAAAATGTCTGGTATTTTCTAATTAGGAATAATACAGTTTTAAATATACATTATCTACCTGTGCAGGTAAAATTTTTACCTGTATTAGGCCTCTGTTTACCTTTTGTCACTTTATATTAAATAATTTTAAATATTCCACACGGATCTCTAACGGTGATAGTTCAATCAAATCTTAATTATAAACTGGCGTATCAATTACATTACTTCAATTGATAAAGATTATGATATATACACGATTATGGCAGGATTAGGAGATGACCACTCTGTGCTGATACTGTAAACTCATAATCTACCTGGCTCGATCACTGTCGAAAGTGTTTTTTATTTCGTCAAGTTATGAACAAGCGGAGATATGATTTCGTGTGTGGTTATACTAGTGTTGTTTAGTACTTTCATTCAGTCGTGTTCGAGTTACGAGCAATGCTTTGCAAAACCTCTACAGAAGAATCCGGATGCTGAGGCTAGGTTTTCAGTTATTTTAAGTTTGAGACAAACATCCGGGGATGAAGAATGTCAGGACATTGCTACCTCTGCGATAATGACTGTTGTTGCAATAGATTGGGCAGTATCTAGATTAAATAATGTGACATTGGTACCAGGAGTTAAATTTGGTAAGTTCGTCTGTTTTAGATACATGTAGCACTCGTAATTTGTATTTGTGCCATGGTTGAATTGAGATCAATGATGTGGATCTAAATTTAGCAATTGGGGTATAGGTCGCGTAGATTGAAACTAAAACTCTTTCTCTCTCTCTCTCTCTCTCTCTCTCTCTCTCTCTCTCTCTCTCTCTCTCTCTCTCTCTCTCTCTCTCTCTCGTCTCCATATTATGAAAAAAAAATTTATACATTGTCTTATTAAGTTTACAATTCTAAGCACAAGCATTACGTGACTATGATATAAAATACTAAAGGGGACGACCATTTGATTAGGGAGGTGGAGGAGGATTTTCAAAATGATTAACTTGCCCTGGTTAGAACTGAGAATAAATTAATTCGCACAAGACAGGATGAAAATGAATTTTCTGAGCAACACAAAATGCAGGAAACAAATGACTGTGTACAAAGTGAGAGAAAAATAATAAGGATGCGTAGCAACAGATGAAAATAAATGATCAATACGGAAAAAGTCCTCCTGTTCTCCCAACCCCCCAAACCCGAATATTAAATGGTCGTCCATTTGTCAAAATGGGTACAGAAATTAAATAAAATGCTATATTATCAAGATCGAGATTTAATTCAATTCTGTTGTAACACGTAATATAACAATTTAAATGAATTTCTGTACCTAAACAATATCTTTATTTTGATCTGCATATTTCTATTACACTCCCGCTTAATGGAGTGGGAGTGTTTAGTGATCTTTATGTATGCTCTGCTTTTCGTTTGCTTCTAATTCTGCTTTTTGTATCCGCAACTACATTTAAAACAGTATAATTGGGTTCAAAGAAACTTCCAAAATCTTTTGTTTTATTACCTAGAATATTATGCAAGTTCTGTTTTTTACATTTATCTTTGATGTGATAAAGGTATTTTTGTGTTCCCCAAAGCAAATAACATATTAATAAAATAACAGGAATTACCAAAAACGTTAGACAGTACAACAGACTACAGGATAAAGACCACCGTAGCAAAACAGTTTGGCTTATCGAATCATGGGTACGCATCTTGCTGTTACGCAATATTTTGAAAGCCACTTGGTGTATTTCATTGAAACTTTCACAAAATATTCTTCCTTGCATAATAATGTTTTCATCTCTGATTTCTTTTTTTTTTCCTATCGATATTAAGTGTTTGGTTTATTGTTACAAATAGAAAGCTGGCTATGAATTTTAAAACCTTGCTCACAGTATTTCTTATTTGAGACTTTTTTTTTAGAGATTTGTGCACTAATTTGATAATCCTGTATTCTAAATTACATCTTTATAGTGGATTTAATGAAATGTTCACACTGTCCAGATTCTAGATCTTTGTCCTGTTTAAGTTTTTTATCCCTATTGTTATTTTTTCAAATCTGTTTCTCATCCCCAATTTTACCACTGACTGAATTTTTAAAAAAAATTCACATATCCTTTATCGTATAATAATGCATGCAAATGCTCCTGCTATGTTTAAGAATACATTGTATGGTTTCCAAAGCTAAACGTGAACTATAAATTTGATATATTTATAAAAATGGGGGAAAGGGGGGGGGGGGGGGGGGGGGGGCTATAGAAGCAAGTTGAAAGCTCTTCTCACTGAAATGTTTACTCGTAACTAAATTTTAGGCTATGCCAGATATTTCTGACCGCGGTCCTTTACTGATCTTTATTCATTAAATGCTCAAATATATAAATAAAAAGATGCGGTATGATTGTCAATGCGACAACTTTCCACCAGAGACCAAATGACATAGAAGTTAACAACTATAAAATTAAGAATGGAAATGGGGAATGTGTCAAAGAGACAACAACCCGACCATAGAACAGACAACAGCAGAAGGTCACCAACAGGTCTTCAATGCAGCGAGAAATTCCCGCACCCGGAGGCGTCCTTCAGCTGGCCCCTAAACAAATATATTTACTAGTTAGGTCACCTTCAACAATGAGCAAAACCGTCATACCACATAGTCAGCTATAAAAGGCCCAGAAATGGCAAATGTAAAATGAGAAAACTAACTACCAGATTTATGTACAGATTTATGTACAAAACAATGAACGAAAAACATATATGATGTTTTTTTTCTGTTTTATCAAGTTGTTGGTTTGCTGTTTCATTGGTGTGTACCCCACATCTTGTTTATGCATAAGCTGACTGTATGTAGTTAAAACTACGTTTAGTTTGAAATGTAAGCATTGTTGTTTACTTTGAATTTAAGCGCAGTAAAACGGACATGAAAATAATTGCATATCATAGGACTTAAAGAATCTGCACATTAATCAATTACATGTGGAAAGTTTTATGATATTAATTCCTGTTTATCTTGAAAGTAAGTTTTAAAGTCCACAAAGTTTCAATACACTGTGTACAATTTGTAAGGAGAAAAAGTGCGCGGACATTTTTTTTAGGAATTGCAGGAATTAACGAGAATAAATATACGAAGAATAATCGTATTACATTGAACTTTTTCCTTATTCAGTCATTAAAATTTCCTCCAGACACAAACACGGTCACACTTGTTCAAAAGCCAATAAAATGGTCCAATTCATATAAAAACTGTTTTAACATAATGTGAACAAGTACCAAAGGCTGTATAAATAACACAAATTATCCCAAATTACTTGTTTGTGGATGAATAATCCTTATGACAAGATATATATCAAGATAATTTTAACACAAAGCCTAGCTATCTTTTAATCAAATCGTGCGTATACGTTTCTACATTTTTTTAAATATTTTTTTTTTTCAGTTTGAACAATAATTGTTTCTCCTTCGGTTTAGTGCTGATTTTTTTAAGGAATGAAGGGACGAATGATACGCGCCTAACATAAAGCTTTCTCGAATTTAAAAGAATTTAGTTGTATATGTAATATATCCTTAAACAACGGAAAATTATTTGTGTTAAAATTGAGACTCGAGTAAATCCGCGTACAAACCAGAACGAAGTGAATCATTTGAAGTTTTAGGAATGTTACCTTGTGAACTAGTACGTTTTATAAACATCCTGCTCAGTGCGGCTTTTTATTATACAATTATAGCCTTTGTATGATGTCGATACGATTTTACAGTCAGGATTCTACTTCGTCAAAATTATCTCCCCATTACGCCACCCTTTGTCAAAATTATCTCCCCATTACGCCACCAATTTTTTTATAATCGTAAAAATGGAAGCCATTATAGTGATGACGCGCTGTCAATTTAGCTCTTGAAACACGATCAGTTTATCCACATAGCATGCCATCATTACGATCCTTATATTCCAGTTGGATCTTAAAAGACAAAAGTATCTACTTTCTATTGAGCATCATTTAATGTACTTTTATGCATTTGTTAACTCAGAATCTTTTCGGTTGTCCGGGGGAATTTTCAAAAGTTCAAAAATATTTAAAAAAATTCTAATTAAATATTTCGTGGTGGGCAGACTAAAAATTTTCAGAGGTTGGGGACTAATTATCCTAGATAACACACAAAAAATTAAGTTTTTTTTAAGCTATGCATTTTTAAGATCCACTTGTAAAGTCTGTTTTTAGTAACATGCTGTATGCCCTGTGCAATATGTTGTTTTTGACCTACGAAAAGTAAACACAACAGTGATTGGCGTGCAAACTGAGTAAATACAAATGTACATGTGATCAAACTTTAACGAATCACAAATCCTTAAAAATATTCGATTAATAATATAGTACAAAGGATGGTCCATATTCATATCGCATTAACGCCATGATCCCGTCCTAATATGCATGAAATATTCGCTGCTGGACGTAAAAATCGATTTGTCGTAATTTAATCATCAGGATCATCATCAATGTAACTTCTTCGTATACTTCGAATGTCAAAAGTTTTGAATATAAAACATAAAAAATTAGGAGAAGTGATTTCTATCTCAAAAAACAACGAAAACTGCCCGAAGTCTATTTTATCTTCGAATATTCTTACCATAACTAATGAAATCACATAGTTAAGAAGGACACATCAAAATTAAAAATTGAATATATTTGTTATTTGGATTTACTTGCACTTACTTTTTATATGTATAGATGGAGTTATTTCATTGAAAGGTTATCGTCAACTCAGAAAACATGCTGAGATCTGATTTTTTTCCCTGCAGAATTGCAAATCTTTTTTTGTATAGCTTTGAATCTCTCACTTATATAAATTGTATTAAGAAAAGGATAAAAACCCTTTTTTCCTCTTCGTTTTTTTAAATGTGTCTGCTGTCTGTCTCAAGGTATAGAATAATAATATGACCCAATTTCAGGTTCAGGTCTCGGAATTAGAATTGTACACGGGACATTAAATATGATTGTATTTATGAATGTTGCTGGTTTGGACTAAATATTAACACGTGTTAATTTCTTAAAAAAAAAGTTGCCCCAATACATTTTCATGTTTATTGGTTATTTAAATTGTATTTATCGCTTGTGGTTGAAAAACATGTGGTTTACAATAGCGTGAGATAAAAGCGAGGAATACAAATGAATATGTATACAGTTACAGAGTTTTCTTTAAATGTACCTTAGTAGATATGAAGTTACTAAACAGGTTAAGGTTATGAACAATTTGATAATTGACTTTTGAAGAACGTAAGGTTAACGCATTCGGCTTTGAAATGCTAAATACAGACTGTCTTCGGTAGCTTATTATTAGTTCGGACTGGTTTTACTGCAACGGTTTCTTTGGGGTGAACGTATAATTTGCACCTGTCTTTATTTTTTTCGTCAAATTAACAGCAGCAACAAATCACAGTTTTAATATGTACATTCTCATAACAGTCTAAAACTTCTTCTCCTTGCGGTCAAAGTTAAAATAAAAACGTTCGGTTACTATAACAAATCACCAAACATTATTTTCACTATTTGGTCATTTTATTAAAAACTTTCTGTCGAACTGTGTCGTTTAAAATAAACGTTCAATTACATACTGAATTACTTTGAATTTCATTATTTATCCAGAAAAAAACCTCAAATGAATCATTGTTACATTGATATTTTAAAGAATTAATAATAGACTTTCCTGCATCTTGATAAAATAAAATGCATACAGAATCTAAAGCTATTCCCATTCATTTATTATCAAGGTGTTTCTAATTGGTTTAAGAATCATGTGTACATTTTCTCGAAGTGTATCATTTTTTAAGTCAACTGCTGCGTTTTCGAACGATTTACTTATTTTCATGGAAAATTTCAATATAAAAAGGCTGCTATAAAAAGATGGCGCCACTGTATGAACATATCGGTTTTAAGTTTTTTCTGTCCATGTAAAAATTTGAAGGAAAAATATATTTACAAGCAAGATTATCCAAAGGGGGATTTAACTATTTGCTTAACACTTATCGTTCGGGTCGTTTTAATTGTTACACTTATATGTACGGTTTCTTGATTACATGTACATGTTTGAATAGCATTCCTTTAATATTTGACTTGGTGACTTAATTCCAGAAGATTTAATCAGGGGCCAAGATTTCGAAAGTATATTCTAGGATAGACATGTCTTATGGCAGAATTAAGGAATTGTATATGACCATCGTAGGATCTTTATTATACTTACTCTAAACCAAAGCTGTCTTTAGATGGTCCTTATCAGGATGGTCTCGGGACTGTTAAGCATGAACAATAAAAATGAATCTTTATTACATGCAGCACCTGTATTATAAAAGTATTAAATTTGAACCGTTAGACGAAGTTATGGAAAAAAACATGTACGCATTGCACGATAATTTAATGGGAAAGTATTAACGAACAATGTGTATTTTATAAAAATATCTTAATTTCATTAAATGTGTAAAAGCCAAATAAAACCTTTAAAGCATGAAAAGGTAGAGTAGCAAAATAGATGTGTTATCGATACAGTCTTAAAGTAAAAACATTTCGGAATATCCTGAGACCATCTTAACTTATTAACATTTATTTTGATGTCCTAATTTTAAAATAGTTTTAGCTTTATCTCAAATTAAGACACGTTCAAAACCATCACATAGACTAAGATATGTCCTAAGACCATATTAGTACATGCCATTAGTCCTAAGATACTTTCAAAAACCAGGGCCCCGTGCTGCACGTCATTCATTTTGTTAAATTTTTTCCGCTGTCGTAGCTTCGTAACTGTACGGACTTTTTGTCGTTCTACTGTTCAACTAGTGGAAAAAGAACTTGAGTTTATCTAACCATTACTTTAGGAATTTGTTCGCCTAACAATTTCATAATCTAATTTTAACCGACCGTGCGAGGGCTTTATAGCCAGTCAAGGTCGTTAAAAAACCCCCATAAGTAAGCCACCTTAAAAAAGTCCTTGCGAACAACGTTGCAATCATTGAAGAGTTCTATTTGGAAGGAAGATAATTTTTAGTCAACAGTTTCACTCTTACAGCATGTTTTGTATATATCAAAGACTGATTTTTATGTATTTGCACACTATGGGATTTCTTTTTTTATCTTTATATATATGAATATACATCGTTTTTTCTTTTACTTTTTTTTTACCAGGATATGACTTATACGATGACTGTGGTATTGAACGGTACAGCATGTATAGTGTTCTAGATGCCATGGATTACTATTTCCCGCCAGATCTGAGATCATGCACAGGCAATAGTTCAACATATTATCTAGGTATTATAATATAACTTCTGTTCTTTCAGTTTTCAATGATTATTTATTTTCTAAAATGACTGATAGCAACTTTCAATTAATCACAAAATTATACATAATATTAAGTTTAATATTGTAACATAACCATTAATTGTGCTTGTGAAGTATTTTCGAAATTTCAGTAAAGATTTGTTCCTTTGAATACATTATATTGATAAATTTATTTCTTATCACAACATTTACAAAGAGTACAAATAATAATATTTGAGTCTACGATACTGATATTCGAAAACAGATAAGTCATTTAAATATGACATTTCACTAGTGATGTAAATAAATACACCATTCTAAAGCTCACATGGTTATATACTTCGACGCCCTGTAGTGTCGCTTTGTCTTCTATATCTGCTCAAATTATACAAATCCTTTTTTTTCTATAACGCAAGCACTACATTATAAATAGTGAAAATAAAACCGATTAATTTGGTGCTATGTGACCAGGGAAAAGGCAGCTTCATTTTATTGTTTAGGACTTTAATACAAAATTCTCAATTTTGATATTTTAGACTTTCATTGTCAGTGTTTTATAATTCATCTTATTTTATATTTTCGTTTCTATTTACATTTCATATCCAGGACTTAAATCAACATGCTTTGATATGTATTTAATTCTCAGTTTGGACATAGAGTGACATGTTTTACTCTGTTAGCTAATAAGTGACAGTTTACTTTTTTCATAATTATATGTTTTTAAATATCATAATCAGATTAGTAAATTCTAAAAATAGTTTAATCTTTGTCAGTGTACAATATAACTCAAACTAATTATTATTTGTTATGTTTATTCTTGTCATTTCAATTGTGTATAAATACTTGTTTATGATTTGGACTCAGGACTTTACACTGTACACAGTCCATCTGTAATAAAAGTATCCATGCTGATTTATTGATTTATTCATCGCTAGTTCCAGAGTCTCAAGAGTTAGTTTTCACCAGAGTTTCAGTCACAGGGTTGTAATTGCTATTCAGAGCATTCGTTCGTTGTGTGATCAGGTGCATCACACAGTTTCAGTAACAAGAGGCCTTTCAGTCAGGCTCTTGTTACACAACCCTATAAGTCACCCAGTTTCCCCGGTGACAGCTTCCTGCATTACGGCCAGTGCAAAATAGTTCTTCTTCTTTCGTTACAGAAAACCATCAACGTACTGATGTTTACTTTCCGGCGCATGCCTGGTAAATGTTTCTAAATAAATTGATATGGATAATTTTTTATGTCAAACCATGATAGATTAACAAAATATTTCTTGTTTTAAGTTGATTTTGGTCATATATTTTCGTATTTTCAATTTTTACAATTTATCTTTGTTTTTAATTTATACAATTTTTTATTTAGTTTTAAATATTACATTTTTTATTTTATTTTTTGGTTTAAGATAAAAACAAGAGTATCTGTTATTTCCGATGAGGGTAAGTATCAAGGAGCACATCGTGTGTGAGTGCACCCTTGAAGTTTTCTGAAGTAGTGTTTTTAGTAATTTCAGATGATAATTTGTTCCAGTCTTTGATGGTTTGACAGAAAAAAGAAAATTTATAGCTGTCTTTATTGCATTGAATTTGTCTGTAAGATTCTTTATTGGTTGATCTTGTAGTAGACTGACTCTGTTGTAATACATTATGCGATGGAATGACTATATTTTCATTTACAATTTTGTGGAACATTATAAGCCTTGTTCGTAGTCGGCGTTCTTGTAATGTTTGCCAATTCATGGTGTCTATCATCTAAGACACACTGCTGGTGTTGTGATGTCTGTTGCACACGTACCTTGCCGCCCGTCTCTGTACTTTTTCTAGTGATTTTATATTTTCGTTTGTAAATGGGTCCCATACAGTACAACAGTATTCTAACTTTGGTCTTATAAGTGTTTGGTACGCTCTTTCTTTAATTGTTTGCGACTGGACTTTAAGGTTTCTTCTGATGAAACATAAGGATTGATTTGCTTTAGCGGCGGTTTGTTGGATGTGGGTGTTCCATTTTAGGTCTGTTGAGATGGTGATACCTAGGTATTAAGCATGTTTTACCGATTCTAAAATGTGTCCATACATGTTGTAATAAAAGTGGATGGGATTTCTTTTTGTTGTTATGTTCATGACGTTACACTTGTCTGGATGGAAAGCCATAAGCCAATCTTGTTCCCATTGAATGGCAGCTTCAAGGTCTTCTTGAAGCTTGAGGCAGTCGTTTTGAGTTTTAATTTGTCGGTAGATTATACTGTCATCTGCGAAGAGTCTGATTTTGCTATGTTGGATGTACTCTGGGAGGTCATTTATGTAGATTAAGAATAGTATCGGTCCTAGCACTGTACCCTGTGGGACACCTGATGAGACTGGTATTTTTGAAGATGACATGTTTTCTAAAAGTAATGTTTGAGTTCTATTTGAAAGAAAGGATTCAACCCAGTTAATGATTTGATCTGATATGCCAAAGTATTTCATTTTGTATAGTAATCTTTTGTGTGGTACCTTGTCAAAAGCTTTAGCAAAATCCATGATTATAAGATCTGTTTGTCATTGTTTTGGAATAATTCATGTATCAGTAAGATAACTTGGGACTCACATGATCGTTTTGCCCTAAATCCATGTTGTAATTCATACAGAGTGTTGTTTGTTTCTAGATGATTCATCATGCTGCTTGCAAAGATATGTTCGAGTAATTTGCAAGCTATGCATGTTAAGGATATAGGCCTATAGTTGCCTGGGTTGTGTTTATCCCCTTTTTTAAATACAGGTGTGACGTTTGCGTGGTTCCAGTCAGATGGTACATTTCCTGTTTGTAGTGATCGTGCATATTCAGGACGTACAAAGAAAACAAACTATATTAAACAAGAAATACATGGATTTTACCATCTATTACAAAAGTTAAGTCTTTATGGCTGTTCTACAAGTAGTTTTCAACGAACATGAAGAAGGTGCGCATGGTTAAAACTTTTATAACCTTTCTTACTGAACTTAACGAGAAAAAACACACGAGGCTCGTCCACAATATGTATGAAATGTTTGCCACTGGACGTTAAGGTATCGACAAAAAGTAAGTGTTGTCAAAGCGGAGAATTATTTTTTTTATTCATTTGTTATTTATTTATTTTTTCCGAAACTTGTTGGCTTATGTTGTAACCTAACCAACATATGATATTTCTTTAGATAATAGGACCACCATTTGAGTTTCGTGAGGGGGAGGGGGAAATGAATACCCTGTCCTGGTAAGAACTTGGAAAAAAACCTCACCTTGCACACATCAGGATGAAAATAATATTCTACAATACAAAAGGCAAGATTTGATTGTGTAAACGTACAAAATTTAATATAAATAACAATCGAACAAGAATATTCCGCCCGAAAAGTAACCTATTCCCCATCGAAAATCAAATGGTCATCCCCTAACTGCAAACTTACTCACACGTCCCTACTAAAACTAATGATTTTTTGTTGTTTGATCACAGGTATACTTGGTCCCTCACGCAGTCAGAATACGCAAAAAGTTTTAGAAATGGTAGAAAATATGGACATTCCTGTAGTAAGTCCAACATCAACGTCTCCTGATTTACGCAACAGTCCTAACTTTTTCCGAACGGTTCCTTCGGATGATGATCAAGTTCGCGTAAGTTAATATTTTTTTTTATTGTAATGTTACTATAGTGAAAGCTTATGTTGACAATGCCTTTTAATAATAACAATGATAATTTAGTTTGTATAATAATAATGCAATTTTCGAAAAATTAAAGAAATTAACATGAATAAAGCCTACAAATATCTAAGTTAGGTATTTAAAATTGAGAATGGAAATGGGGAATATGTCAAAGAGACAACAACCCGACCAAAGAGCAGACAACAGCCGAATGCCACCAATGGGTCTTCAACGCAGCGAGAAAATCCCGCACCCGGAGGTGGTCCTCAGCTGGTCCCTAAATAAAATTGTGTGTTTGACTACCTGTTAGTATAAAAGTAAGGCGATGTGGTATGTTTGCCAATGAGACAACTATCCACAGAGTTCAAATGAAGTGGATATAAGAAATTAGGCAACCGTACGGCTTAAGTAAGAAAAAACCTATACCGTATAGTCGGCGATAAAAAACGAGAAAACGAACGGCATAATTTATGATAAAACAATTTACGAAAAGCAAATATAACAGATATGAACACACGACAACCACTGAACTACAGGCTGCTGACTTGGGACAGGCACATATAGAATGTGTCGGGGTTTAACATGTTTGTGAGCGTTCAACCCTCCCCGAACCTGAGATAGTGGTGTAAGGTACATAATTTGACATGGGTAATGATTTTTCTACTATACTGCCTGTTCATGGGCGAATAACTTACAAAAAAATCACTGCGGATCATTGAATTATCACCCGTTACAGAACTTGCATATTGCATATGAGCTTGGGTTAAAGTAGAAAGTAGCTTATAATATAACTTTTCGTGCTTTTTGTAGGTGTTTGTTGACTTGATGGAACAGCACAACTGGAACTATGTAGTTGCAATGCACACGGACGATAATTACGGTCGATATGGAGTAACAAAAATTGTTCACCTCGCAAAAATTCGCAATATTTGTGTAAATGTCATTCCTGGATTTAAAACTACAGAAACATTTGATGACACATCATTCAGAGACAGCATACTTCAGAAATTATTGAAACACGTTGAAAACACAACAGATGAAACATTAGGTGTACTGTTTTTTGGTCAACGAAACGTTATTCAGCAGCTTCTAAGTAAAATGCAGCTAACAGCCAACATTAAAGCAAAATTAAAGAATATAAAATGGATAATGTCTGAATCAATAGGTACTCGTGTCAGTGTATTATCTGGAGCACCGGATGTTACAAACGAGGCTATGACCATTTCTATGACAACCTTAGATATTCCAGAAGTTCTTGAACATGCAAATAAAATTCGTTCATCTGCATCAACGTCGGATGATATTTCTTCGCTCATAAAGAATTTTGGAGTTATTTCCGGTGATGATTGGAAAGACTATGTTGTATCTATTTTAGATAGTGTTTTTGCTGTAACCACTTCTTTGAAAACAGCATTCGACACAAGATGCACCGGCTATAAAGTTATCTGTGAAGGATTTGAAGATTATTACAATTCCAAAAAGTTAGAAACGATGAATAACACAAAAGTGAACTACACTGATTTAGGTCCAGATATTTCTCCAACTGAATTTATCAACAAGCGCAGAGTTGTTACATTTAATGGCTTTGGTGACCTGGTTCCCGATTCAAATACCCCACTTTACGACATCAACATGTACACAAAACCACAACTGCTGAGGGTAAGTTCTAATAATTTTTATACCTCTGGCAGACTTTTATTTTGAACCATACAAATTCGGCAAGTTACCAAAATATGACGACGATACACGCACCAAATCCGAATCAACCTGAAAACAACGAAGTTCTTTAAATAAACACAAACTTGGAACACGTGCACTGGGGAGGTATCATGTTTCTACCAATAAATACTCCAACCAGGATCGTAAAAAAAGTTCAAATCATATTTAGTCAAGTTTATCGTTTTGCAAACCTTTCAGTTATCTGATATCACCACACAAACTTAAACATCAATGGTAAACGTATATACAAATCTTATAGCTAACTTTTGTATCTATACATGTATTCATTAGTCATAATCTATTGCTTATACTGCTTCAATTTGCATTAAAATTCATATAACTTTATTTTGTAGGTAGGTTCATATGTTAATAGTTCTCTCAGCATTAATTCTGAGTTTCCAAATGGGTTTTCTTCTTCGAAATGTCAAAAAGGATGTGAATTGTGTGTAGAGACTCCAAACATAGCCTACGAATTTATTGAAGGCGATGTCTATATTTTGGGATTCTTTTCCCTACACAGATTATCGGACGATCCTTTTGGTTGCGGCGAATTTAGAAATTTGACATTTGACGTTCTGTCAGTTGAAGCCTTTTTAAATAGCATTAAAGAATCTCAGTCGGAAACTAATATAAAATTTGGAGGAATAGCTTTTGATGATTGTTACAGCTCAAGCAGGGCTTCGATGATTATTAGTGACTTGTATACTGGTAAGCTAAAAATACCATCTGAAACAAACCCGATAGATCCAGAAAAAATTGTTGGCGTTGTGGGTCCTTTTCCGAGCGGCGTCACTGTTCCTGTCACTTTTCTGTTTTCTAGTATTGCTCTTCCATCAATTTCATATGCATCGACGTCACCAGATCTCGACGACAAAGAAATAAATTTTCCGTACTTTTTCCGAACAGTTCCGAGTGATGTAGATCAAGCACATGCAATGGTAGAGGTTCTTAATGCTATGGGTTGGCAATCAGTTGGTCTAGTCTATGTAAATAGCAATTATGGAAGCAAAGGAAAAGATGCCTTTAAACGTGTGGCAAATGCCTCTGGTATTTGTATAGTAGGAGAAATAAAAGTGCAACAAGAAGATAGTGCACAGTGGAATTTTGAAGTTCAGAAAAGTCTGGAATCCATTATGAATCAAGGAACGAATCTGTTCATATATTTTGGAACAGAAGGGCGAATGGTTGATATTTTGTCCCATATCAAAGACATCGACAAAACAGGTGCGAATCAAAATAAATATATTTTTATTGGAAGCGACGATTGGGCTGACAGTAGAAATATAAAGAACATGTTTGGAGAAATGATCGAAGGTTCGATGTCCTTCAAGATAAAAACGAGAACAACAAATACCAACTTTGTTGAAAATTTAATTAAGAAGACTTCGTCCTTAGAGACAGCCAGTTACTGGTATAAGAAATTTTTTCGAAACTATTTTCAATGTTATTTCGAAGACGATTTCGTTAAAACATTTCCCAAACCATGTTCTGACAATATCACAATAACAGATACAAATGGCATAATGGCGGATGGAAGAGTTTCGCATTGCATATTAGCTGTTAAAGCATTGACTAAAGGTATAGCTAAAGCCAAAACAGAGTTATGCCAAGGAGAGACAGAATTTCCGTGTGCAAACTATAACAGATATATCGACCATGTTCGGGATAAAATAGCAGAAGTTAACATATTGGACGAAAACCAGATATCTTTTAATGTCTTCGACAAAAACAGGAATGGCGATGTTGGTTTCCAGATTCTTCAAATAAGAAAAGATGGAGACGACTTTGTATATGCAGAGGTAACTCTCATATTTTCGGTGTTTTTTTTCAAGAGTATAACTTGTAAATCAATTTCATATATTGAAATTGCTCTTTTCTCATTTTTTATGGACCAAATGATATCGCTTTTTAGCTCACCGTTCCGAAGAAACGGTGAGCTTAGCCATCACTTGGCGTCCGTCGTCCGTCGTCGTCGTCCGTCTGGTGTAAACTATTTCAAACATCTTCTCCTCTGAAACTACTGAACCAATTCCAACCAAACTTAAGCTGAATGATCCTTAGGGTATCTAGATTAAAGTTTGTGTTTATTTTCTGTTTGGTCAAAAAACATGGCCACCATGTCTTAAAATAGAACATAGGGGTGAAATGCAGTTTTTGGCTTATATCTAAAAAACAAAAGGAGTTAGAACAAATCTGACATGGGGTAAAAGTGTTCATTAGGCGAAGTTCTATCAGCCCTGAAATTTTCAGATGAATGTAATAACCCATTGTTGGGTTGCTGCCACTAAATTGGTAATTTTAAGGAAATATTGCAGTTTTTGGTTATTATCTTGAATAGTATTAATGATAAAGATAAACCGTAGACAGCAAATTGTAAAATGTGTCCTTAAGGAGTTATTGCCCTTTAAAGACAATTTTTCACAATTTGTTCATCTAGTTTGCTTACTTTAAAAAATCTTCTCCTTTGAAACTGCTGAATCAATTTCAGCCAAACTTGGGCTGAATGAGTTTCAGAGTATCTAGTATAAATTTGTATTTTATTTTCTTGTATGTCAAGAAACATAGCCACTATGGCTAAAATGGAACATAGGGGTAAAATGTATTTCTTTGCTTTTGAAGAAAATATGACAGATACAAAGAACATCTCAATGGAATTTTTAAGCCACTCATTAATATATATTAAAAGCAAAAATAATCATTGATGAAAGATTTAAGTAAAAAATTACAGGTGAGCAATTAAGGCTCTTGAGAGCCTCTTGTTTGGAATGTCGCTGAATGATATAGATGACATGAAATAAGATGCGGACTCTGTTCATTTCCTACACCAGGAATAAATTACCTTATCTGTATTTGGCAAAAACTTTCGGTATTTTGGTCCTCAATTCTCTTCAACTTCGTACTTTATTTGGCCTTTATTATCTTTTGATATTCGAGCGTCACTGGTCTTTTGTATCTACGAAACGCGCGTCTGGCGTACAAAATTTTAATCCTGGTATCTATGATGAGTTTATTAACAGTACTTGCCGTTTTATCCAAATTTATTCAAAATGCTATAATCGAACTTATACATGATAAATGAAGGGTAAATATGAGCTACATTTTCAACGTTTGAAGTCACTGTAGAGACATAACACTTAGACTAAGGTTGGAATTTTGCGCTTAATATTGTTGATGCATTTATCTTTAAGTTTGAAGACTGAATCAAAATCAGTGTGCGAAATTATTACGGACTTTTCAAATAATAATTTTCTATTTGGTCAAGCAAACTAGAACATGTCATTAAACAAAAAAATGTAATTCACATATATTAACTGAACGGTAATATGAACTATAATGTTTTTCACCTTCATACATTTCATAATATTGCTTTATCATCGTGTATTGTTTCTTAATATTCATTTAAATATTTCAAGAATATAGTGTTATAAAGATCTAGACTGTCAGCTCGTATTACAAGTTAAGTATGTACGTGGAAATGACTTATGCTTAATGTCACATAGTAACCGAAGAAGTTTTGGTAGACACCCAGGCCGATGTAAAACTTGAACTTTTAAATTATTAAAAACTAAAAGCATTATTTGCACAAAAGGACAGTATTCATTTTTAGAGAAAAGAAAAAAAGAAAATGATAATATAGAGTTAGATGTTTTGTTATACTGTTCACTTCGGAATTTTTCTTCGTTTAAATGCATGTTTTCAATGTATAAATTTTAGGTTGGTTCCTATGACAACGACAATTTGATGATTAAATCCGAAAATGTAAGAACTGTTGTAGCAAACACACTGTCAGTTGCCGAATGTGAAGCAAATCAAGGTCTTGCAATATCAGATCTATCATCTTCGTCACCAGAACAGGAAGACTTCCGATTGGCGGACATTGTAGTGATAGCTCTACTCGGATCTCTTTGTGTTGTTCTGATAATTGTAATTTTTGCTGTCATCTATTGTTTTTGGAGGAAATCAGCGGGTAAGATTACTAGTGTTTGGATAACCCGAATAATTCAGTCGTTATATTCCGCTTATCTACGATTACTACATTAAAGTTAGCTTGGGATCCTGGCTCACTCCTCGACAGTAGTATTAGATTGGGTCAGGCTATACCAGGCTACATAAAGTAAGTAGGAGAGATCCGATCGATTGCGGAGAGGAACTGAATTATTCGGGTTAGAGTTTGAACATATCTTTAAGTATTCATCTGAAACAAATCTTAATTAGAAAATTGGAAAGATGGCCTTCAATTTATTGACAATATCATCTAAAAATGTAAGATACGACTCCAAATCGTTTATTGTATTTAGAAAATGCGAATTTTTACAGTTGTTTCTCAATTTTCGAATAAAGCATTGCCTTTGCTTCTGTTAACCCATGCCGCAAATGTTTTGAACGAACAAACCCAAATACCAAACGTTAGAATTTCAGGTTCAGCTTACCAATATCATAATTCGTTTGCTATATTTTCTTAAAAAGAACGGCAAAAGTTTGATCTCAAGAAGTAGGATAGTTTGTAAAATGCTATACAGTGTTGGTTCTGAAAAAGAGATTGCGAAAACATGATATATTGTTGAAAGACCAACCTGCGAAAGATCCGAGGCAAGGTGTTGCGCGGATATTATAACCACGGCGCCATATGCCATCGAACTTTTCAATAAACATTTGGTTGGTCCGTTAATGGTCATGCTGTAAACAAAACTGTAGTAATTATACTTAAATATATCTATATATTATTGATGTATCATTTGCGAACTTGGTGGTTGTTTATTGGATATTAACGGTGTTTCTAAGTTCTTTAATTCGGTGTCATCCTGGTTTGCCCACATTTAATTGGAGGTTTATAAAAACACAGGGTGTTTTGTTGTTTTAACAATTATAGTTTATTTCTGAATTATAGTCATATGCTAATCTTTATTTTACCTGTAAAATTCTATAAAAGATACTTAATTTTACTATTAAATCAAGGAAAAGTTGCAAAGGTATTTTATAAATTTACCAGAAAATTGTATTGAATTTGACAAATTTTAAAACAAAAATACAAAAAATGTTTACAAGTTTGACAAATTATTGACATTTTTTTTAAATTGTTGGTACATTCTGAAACAAAATATGTAAGAAGTAAATAAATGAAACTTGAAAATAAATAAGTGTCATTTAAAATTCTTTTTATTTATTCACTGTATTTATTAAGTCTCCCAAACGAAGTTTGGGAAGACTTATTGTTTTTGCTCAGTTCTTATTATTATTATTATTATTCTTCTTCTTCTTCTTCTTCTTCTTCTTCTTCTTCTTCTTCTTCTTCTTCTTCTTCTTCTTCTTCTTCTTCTTCCGCCGCTTTTAAATTTGAACTTGTCCGCACCCGTTCTCCAAAACCGCTTGTCAGATTAACTTAGGGTTTCACAATATGTTAGACTAACATGGCTAGTGGTGCAATCAGGGTTTTGTTTGTGCAATGGGGTTTATAAAGGGGTACTTTGAGGGGCAAAAAGAAAAGAGGGTTTTACTATAGAACCCTATGGGATTTTATTTTTTTAAATTTTCAAATGATTATAAATTGAAAACCGTTTGTGATAGACACAATCTTTTTAATTGAAAATGTTCTAAATGATAAAGCCCATTAAATGAAATACAGGGTTAGTCCCCAGGGGTCACCCCCACCCCCTGCCATTTAAGAAAGTTCTAATACCTTGTAAGTGGTCAAGATCCCCACCCCTAAACCATATATATTCTGGTTTGTCATGCTAAGATGGTTTGAATGATATACAGGGTTAGTCCCCAGGAGTCATCCCGACCCCCTGCCATTTGAGAAAGTTCTAATATCTTGTAAATGGTCGAGATCCCCACCCCTAAACCATATATATTCTGGTTTGTCATGATAAAGCACATCAAATGAAATACAGGGTTAGTCCCCAGGGGTCACCCCCACCCCCTGCCATTTAAGAAAGTTCTAATATCTTGTAAGTGGTCAAGATCCCCACCCCTAAACCATATATATTCTGGTTTGTCATGCGAAGATGGTTTGAATGATATACAGGGTTAGTCCCCAGGGGTCATCCCAACCCCCTGCCATTTGAGAAAGTTCTAATATCTTGTAAATGGTTGAGATCCCCGCCCCTAAACCATATATATTCCTATTTGTCATGTCTCGAACATTTGAATGACGTATACGGTCAGTCCCCAGGGGTTCCCCCCACCCCCAATGTTCTAATATCTTGTAAATGGTTGAGATCCCCACCCCTAAACCATATATATTCCTGTTCGTCATGTAATGAACATTTGAATGACGTGTAGGGCTAGTCCCAAGGGGTTCCGCCCCACCCCCAATGTTCTAGTATCTTGTAAATGGTCGAGATCCCCACCCCTAAACCATATATATTCTGGTTTGTCATGCCAAGATGATTTGAATGATATACAAGGTTAGTCCCCAGGCATCACTAATGCATATTACTTTACTGGACCAAACCAATTTTCACTGGACGTTGCCCAATGTCAGGCGACCCTGGGAATTACGAATTATGGGAGCTTCGTTTGGGAGACTTCGTAACAGCATCCTGTTACTATCATTTCTTGTTTTTATTGATTTTAATAAATACTTTGTTCTGAAATTTACATCCAAGCTGTTTATAATTTCACACACAGAAGTAGCACCATGCTGCATAAATATAAAGAAGCTTGCCCATTGCCAGAGTGTCATAACTGAACTTGCTAAATCAGCAATAGAAAATGAAAAAAAAGGAAATGTGGACACTGTAAATTAGCTGGACATTGTAAATCAAAAAATAGGAAAAGTACACGCCCAGCATTGCCTTAACAATAAATTATGAGGATTGTTAAATATATATAATTATTTCAAATTCTTTACTTCATTATTTTTTAAAGAGATATGATGACAGGGTATCATTTCTTTTTGTTAATTGTTTAACCTAGATATATATACAAGTCTAAATTGAAAACAACGTTCAAACCTATATATATAAATAAGTCTAAATTGAAAAACAACGTTCAAACCTATATATATATAAATAAGTCTAAATTGAAAACAACGTTCAAACCTATGATTACGTTGGATAAAAAGCGCAATTTTTATACGTGTGCATGCAAAACAAATTTCTTGGTAGAGGGGTCTAAATACAGCACAAACAACATCTTCCAAAAGACCAAAAAAGTTAAAAAGTATATTTTAACAAAACGCACTTGACTAACAGGTCGAACAACGGATGTTCTCAAACCCTGCTGACTGCCATTGGCGATTGCCTAATAAACGGATCACAAGATGTAACAAAAAGGATCTTTATTATTAATTCAATACCAAACAGAAAACAATAAACTTGCAGTTTTATTTCAATTAGACAGATGTAATAACAAACACAGCTGTTGTATTCTGTGTTTTTTTTTTAAATTTTCACCAAATACCAGAAACAAGGGCAAAATTGTTATTTTTCACTATTGAGATAAAACATTTGTAACAAAAGGCTATTTCTTATAAAACTACAGCCCGTATCACTCTGAAAATTTGCAGTAATGTTACTCTTACAAATAGGTATTTATTGAAAAAAAAATCTCATTTTGCACCATGTTCCTCATTTGGACCCAAAATTTCATGTTTGGTCATATATAGTGCCCTTTATTACTTGATTTTAACCGTAGTGCTTAATTTATTTAGTTATGCAATGCATGTATAAATTTGATTCATAAATAATATAAATTATGTCTGCAATAAAAGACAATTTTATCATATATTGGTGTATTTTTAACATAATTGTTTTGTTATTAGTTGTATGTCAAATGAATCGCTTGAATTGATATTAAATTATTAAGAAAAAAATGTTCGATTTATTTATCATTTATCTATAGAAATATAAACTACAAAATGAAAAATACCTGAATATATAGAAAACACAGATAAACTATAGACCTATTAAGTTGGAACAGGCTATACAATTGTATGCTCATTAAACCTTTTGTCTTTTTTGTTTTTTTACTAAAAGATAATTAGTATAATTAAATGTGGGCAAACCAGGAGTAAACCCTTTAATTCACACCAATAAAAAGCCAATTACTCAAAATATTGTATTGACTGTGTACAAGAAAAATATGTCATTTCATATAGATCTTCATCAATATAGTATCGAGCTAGCCTAAAGTCAATTTTCTAGAACAAAACAAATAACTTTATTTACTTTCTGGAAGTTTTCTGCTTAACGTCTAATTTACTTGTGGTGAGTAACGTTTTCTTTGTTCATTTTAATAATTAATTTCTCAAATTCATCTTCTGTTTTTCAGGTCTCCACAAAATGCTGGAAGAAACAAAAGCCAGAATTACATACTACAACCAGATAGGAACGCCTAAAAAACAGAAGCAAAAACATTCTGGAAAGAAAAATGGAGATATTGGTAGTTTTGACAACCCTGTATTTCCAAATGGCGGTCTCGTCCCTGTAGAACCGCCCGGTCAACACTATCTTCCATTACATGAATCTGGACAAGTTCGTAGTGCTCATAGATATGACGGTAACCGCCTTGATTTGTTGAATCAGACGACTCCGAAACAATCAGTATCTACCAGTAATCAGTCACTTCTTGAAACAACTCGTCCAGATTTACCTCCAAGAAATGTCCCCGAACAAAGAATAGTATCCAAATCGGAAAGTGACATTCACAATTCATATCCTGTTATTAAACCAAAAATGGGAAATTACTTTGCATTAAGCAATCAACCACGCATGGGAACTGCGATGAATACGACACCAACTGATTCTCTCCACTCGCAGGGAAGTGTATTTGGTTTCCCTCGCCATCAAGTTACTACAACCCCAGACGAAGAAAATCCGGAAAACATACTCCTACAAACCGAAAACCACATTCCTCCGTCCAAAAGCCTACCTTCCTCACCTCGATCGCCATATGAAAAACATAAAATATCACAAACAGTCCAAGAAAATCGAACTCGGTCTCAATCGTCACCTCTATCTCATAACAATTCAATTCATTCCCAATTTTCTGGTGAAACCCTACATATGACCGGAAACTTATCTCCACAGCGACGAAAAAGACTGAAAAGTTTCTCATCAGAAGAACCACAGAAAATATCACGTGTTTAACATTCTCATACCACATGACTTGATATTACTAGTAATCGGCATTTACATTCCAGATCTGACAGTTAACCCTGAGAATATTTTGTTTATTTTATACATTAGAATATTTTACAATATGTTACTATTATTATTATTATTATTATTAATATAAAAATATATCATGGAAAAAGAATTTCATTTTTTGTTTGTTTTTATGTAGCCTCTCGACAATAGTATAGGGTACTTAGATGCTGACAATGGCAAGCTTCCACGTAGTAACTATTGCTTGCTCTAATCCGATGGAAATGATCCGTTGTTTAAACTGTCGTTAAAATATAGTTAAACTTGCATGTTGATCTGTATTTTCTAGTGATAAACAGACTTGTATTTACAAGTTTCGACATAAGAACAGATAATGGTACCATTCGATGCACATATTTGATACGAAATTTTCATATTTTTATTTTCGATAGCCTAAGAACGGGCTCAGCCATTGATCTGTGCTCCTCTTAATTTTCATGCTAGATTATACAATTTCAAGATTGATTAATAGTTTTCAGAAGTAATAAAAAGTCGGTTTCTCCACGAGTTTTTCGCCAGTTTCATAGCGAGAGAAAATAAATTTAGCTTTCTGATAATATGTATATTTTATTTCATCATATATATTGTATTAAACATCTAACAATTCTTTATCAGGATATTTCAGGGAAATCATGATAGGAAGGTCGACTGGTAGTTACACACTGCATGAATGTTGCTACAAAAAAAGGAATAAAATGGTTACCAGTAAATCGTCGTAAAAGTTTATTTTTTATACCATTTATTGTATATTATTAACAAAATGGCTGATTGCAATATATAACAAATCAAATTGTTTCGCGTTAAGGATGAAATGAGGTAAAACTCATTTCAACTTCTACTTAAAAGAAATTGTTCGAGTAGGTTTTTTTTTTGGCAAAGGGAGACAACTTTTAATACAAACAGTATGGGTTTCCTCCTGATACAAACCTTCAGAAAAGAGATTTTTTTTTATGTACATGAAAATGTTTAGAATTTACATTTCGTTACCATCTATTTTTCAATCCCTTTTTTTACCATGAAAATGTAATGCACTTACGAAGTAGAAGATATGATTAGAACCGCACAATACAGCTTGCTTGTACAACGTGCTTTGTATGATATTAATTAAAGCAGGGACCACACCTGTCTTCTTACCTTGGAGTTGTCTCCCTTTTCAAACAGATAATACTGGGGAAAAGTTGAAATTAAACATATTATCACGCTTGAAGTGTTATTTCAAATCGAACTGTTGACCCATGTGATTGTAGGGTGTACGTACTTGGTAATGGGTGAAACTATCTATATATCATTATATCTTTGTTTTCATACAGTCTATACATTACATGTGCACAAAGAAAGACAATTGCATATATACAGTAAACATAATAAAAATATAGCGATGAGAGGGGCAAAATTTTAAAAATAACATCTGATGTAACAAAGCTTAGCCAGAAGGACAAACACGCTTACCAACGCGTTTGATATACAAAGTTTATTTAGAATTGGACTTGACGTTAAGCAACCAACAATCAATCAATCAATCTTCAGAATTGCTTTACGGTAACAGGATATCAGTTCTAAAAGCTAAATTACGTTGTGTCTGTTTAATATTTAAATTAAATTAGTTTTAAAACATCTTGTTATTTTTTTTATGAAACTCTCAAACTGCCATACTAGTGCAATAAAGATATCTAATTCCTTACAAAAATGTTTCCTTTTTTAGTCTTGAGCGGGGAAATAATTTTGTGTAATAATTTGAGGTTCTTGTGATTTTTTTTTGTAAGATTTGAGATTGAAACCTTTAGTATTTTGGAAATTTGGTATCTGTAAATGAGATATTATCATGGAGTTTATTTTTTTTAAGACCATCCAACTACAGTAACTCATAACGAGCATGAATTATTGATACGTTTAACAACTTAACTTCAAGTTAGTAACTAATATAGACAGTATAATTCTACTGATAAGAATATTGTATCAGGAATTTCTGTAATCAACTTCTAAAGGGTTTTTTTGGGGGGCTTGAGAGTTTAAGATATTTTAGATGCAGTTATTTTAGAAAGAGAGAAGTCCGTACCCATATAAATATAGGAACAGGTGGCTGGCTGTATTGATGTCACAACAATTTGAGCCTCTTTTTCGAAAATATTTTTGACTTTGAAAACAGTCTGCAGCAAAAGTTATTGGGTTCACTTCTTGTTTTCCCAAGGCTCTTGTTGTCTGATCTTTATTTTTTAGGGGTTATTTGTAGACTCCCGTTTGTCTTTTCGATTTTTTTTTCTTTTGGCATATTTTTTTTTTGGTATACACTTCGTATTGTCTTACTCATTTATTATCCGTCAACCATACTCATATGATTTTACGATGCCTAGATCCAATGTCTCCGATGAAAACTGGAACGATATAATAGGAATATATGGTTTCTTTCTTGTATCCATACAGAATATTTAAAAATTTGTTTTGATATATTTAGCAAGAAAAGACAACTCTCGTGTCTTCAATTCTCTTTTTAAACGACCGACCTCTGCATTCTGTATAAAGTTGCGATGGCAGAAAAAAATACATTGTGATATTGCGCTTTATTCTGTACTTATTTATATGCTACAGAAAAATACGGTAACAGGAATAGTCAACATTACGGTACAAAACAACACAGAATTGATCAAAGATAGGGAACATTAAACAGCCGTTTTAGAACTGCAGCAGGATACCATAGTTAATAACAGAAAAAAATTAACACGTTTACAAATCAATTAGAACCGTACAAAGAAACCACTTGAATAATAACAAAAATAGAAGTATACCATAGGGCATTGTTGATTTAAAAAAAAAACGTCAAGTAGTCGGAATAGTATAGGATGCAATATAACATGGTAAGTTCCCTTTCTTTTTAAAGAAATAAACTTTTTTGGGACGTGGTTCTCGAAGGAAATACCAGGGTTCTACGTACACAATTCGGTCATAAAGTTAGCAAGTAGTGTCGACGACATCGGTGAACATTTCCAACTGTAACTTTATATATAGGCGTGAACAAAAAAAAGGAAATAATAAATACAAGTATCTATAAATGTTTCAGATAACATATATCTTTCGTCAGTATGTCAGTATGATAATGATGATTTCAAAAATGAATCAAATTGGCACATTGTCCAAAATCATGAATAATTTATTCGTTTAGAAAATAATACCATTTGAAAAAAAATCTGCTCACAGATATATTTGAATTAGTTTGTAACGCCATACACTATTTCTACAGTTAAAATATGTCAATTAATTTAAACTGTAACCTTTAATATATAGAATAGAAATAAAATTTGATTTGGTCATTAAATGGGTGGTTTCAATTGTGCCAATCAAATTCAAGAGAGTTGCATTGTAAACGATCGATGAACAGAGGGGACGCTTTACCTGGTGTCACATTTGATTATCAAGACCATAAATGTTCACAAATGTCAGTCGACACTATTTGCTAACTTTGTGACAGAAAATGAAGATGAAAAAGAGTAATATTTTGGATAAATATAAGTTTCAGTATGATAATTCAACATTATCTTTCTGAGCTTGATATACTTGGAACAACCATGTCTGAAAAAGTCTGTAATGATAAACGACTTGCACTGTGCATCCGTAAAGCATGTGAACAGATCAAACTAATCACTAGAAGTCTAGATTCACTACAAATAAGATACGACAAAATCAAACAAGATGACATGGAGAGCTTCAGATACATGTTACGGTTACAACTAGCCACGACAGAAGGAGCCAGCGATATGTTTTATAAGTATGCTGTCAGACAGGCCACACAAGTCGGTCGTCTAAAAAGAATTAAAGACACAAAAACTGCCGAAAGTTGAACAGTGAGGTACTACAACAGATATAAAATCGTGCACTCAGATTTGAATGTTGCAGATTTATTAACAAACATCGATATCAGTAGAAGCCTACAGAAAGAAATTGGATGTTGGCAGCGAAGAAACAGAAGGTTAAAACCGACGACAAGTTGGTGAGGTCTTAAACAGCTTTTGCTGAAGAAGGCTCTTTTCAGAGCCAAACACATTTTCCAAAAAGAATCTGAAATTGTTGTGACATCTTCCTAATATAACTATTTCCCTATTTCTCTTTGATTCTCAGACTTCTTCTCTTTTTTATCCTTCAATCATCTGTTTTACGATATAAATACAGGCGAACAAAAGAAAATAAACTCGTGCGAATATATCCCTGTAGGTCATTCTGCCATTCGTGGTAATATTCAAATTGTTTTGTAATACTCTGGTTTTCTCTGCAAGGTCCGCGTGACAAACACTTTCTTTTTCTTTGAAAAGAAAAACTAGACAACAGTTAGAAATATGAAAAAGAAAGCACCTAAATCAGAATAATATTATTAAATAAAAAAAGACATCAGCCAATTGTGAGAAAACATCTTTTTTAATCAGTTACCGTTTGAAATAAGAAAAATAGCTACATGAGATAAATTCTCTATTTGTTTTCTAAAAATTGGAACCATCCGATCCAATCCAATCCAATCCAATCCAATCCAATACAATCCAATACAATACAATACAATCCAATCCAATACAATACAATACAATCCAATACAATACAATACAATACAATACAATACAATACAATCCACTACAATACAATACAATACAATCCAATACAATACAATACAATCAATGCAATACAATGCAATACAATACAATGCAATACAATGCAATACAATGCAATACAATGCAATACAATACAATACATTACAATACAATGCAATGCAATACAATGCAATGCAATACAATACAATTGCAATACAAATGCAATACAATGCAATACAATACAATACAATACAATACAATACAAATACAATACAATACAACGTTTGTTGTTTATCCGTTAACGGCCCAAGCAGGATAAAAAGTACCCTAATTTGTGAATTTCACATTAGATATAAAAATGGCATGGAGGGATAAAATACCAAATTAGCAATAAGAAAGCAAAAGAGCAAAAATGAAAGAAACTACGGAAAAATGAGATATCTTTTTTTTCTGCAACCATATTTTATCGAAGTTAAGACGTTGGGGTGCGACATTTTTACTGTTCTCATAAAATGTCTTTTGATATTTTTAATGCGTATTTTCATCTAA